TTCCTAGTGTCATTCAGCTAATATCTGAGGCAGGATTCAACCTCAAGTCTTCCTGATTCCAACTCCAGTGCTCTCTCCATTATATCACCTAGCCACCTCTAACAGCCTGAGCAAAAGTTTAAAGATACAGTGCGCATTCAGAGAAAGGACAGGTGTATGCTGCTACACTAGTTAGAGTATATGGAGGGGAACGGTATGAGGTAATGGTAGAGATGCACAGTGGTTCAAGGTTAGAGAGAATTTTGAATGCCAGCAAAGGAGTCAGAGCATGGTTTCTTCAGCAATAGGAAACCACTAAGTTTTTTTTTCAAATTGTCCATTGAGGTTTGGGCGCCATAAACAAGGTCTTTGAAATTCGACTTATGCAATGGAACCCTGATCAATTTAATTTTTTTTGTCTGTAATTTAACCTTTTCTAGCTCTGGACAGTTTCCTAAGTCTCCATGAGTCCTGGTGTAGAAAAGCCCAATCCTTTCCTAATTCGATTGAGGTTAAGGCCATGCTTAGACTTACAACTGGAAACAGGAAAGGCAGAAGCGGGGCTCTTTGGTGAGTATCTGGAGACATTATGGGTGCATGCAAATCCAGAAAAGAGTAAAGATCGTCTCTTCTCATCATTAAGTGACTTCACCTCTTTGGACCTCACTTTCCTCATCTGTAACAGGAAGAACTTGAACTAAGTCTAAGGTCCTTTCCAGTTCTAACATTCTGTGACTCTGAGAAGCAATTAACAAATTGTCATATGAAACGGGAATGCACTTTTCTGTTTGGCTAGGTGACTTCCTTACTCAAAAACCTTCCCAAGCAAAGATGATCCTACTCCCTCACCCTCCAAAGAATGTAGGATTTCAGTCATGGTGCCAGGCCTGGGAAATGACTACACTGAACCAACCACTCTCTTTCGAGGTCTACCTCGCAGTAAAGCATAGTGGACAATGCCTGTAATAAGGGGTCCCAGTTCCTTTCACTAAGTTGACTGTGCAGATCAGACTGATCTAAGTAGGACCTAGCCAGAGCCCTACCATCAGTAGTATTCTATCCTGCTCAAGGTTGCTCAGCCTTAAAGTGATTTCAAGGAGCTATTTTGTCAACAAGTAGAGCTTGCCTGATCTTAAGTTGTTCCCAAGAAGTTGAAAAATAGCAAAATAATAGTAATTCTCATTTTTGTAGCTCCTTAAGGTAGACACAGTACTTTATTACCAACACCCTCCAATTACCATCCCCATTTTATGGATCCATAATTCCGAACCACAGAATCACAGATTCCTAGAGTTGGACCAGACCATGGAGCCCATTGAGTACTATACTCTCCTGAGCAGGAATCTCCTCTACAATGTCCCAAGCAATTAGTCACCCAGCCTCTCCTAGAGGACCTCCAGAGCCTATAAGGAGAAGGCTTCTAAATTCTTCAGAAGGCTGCCCAGTTTTCTTTCAGATAGCTCTAATTGTTAGGAGGGGCAGCTAGGTGGAGCAGTAGATAGAATGTCTGACCTGAGGTCAGGAAGACTCATCTTCCTGAGCTCAAATCTGGCCTCAAACATTTACTAGCTGTGGCACCCTGAACAAATCACTTAACCCGGTTTGCCTCATTTTCCTCATCTGTAAAATAAGCTAGAGAAGGAAATGGCAAACCAGTCTAGTATCCATACCAAGAAAATCCCAAATGGGGTCATGAAGAATTAGACACACCTGAAATGATTCAACAACAGTAGTAACAACAACAACAACAAAATTGTTTGGAACTCTTTCTTTACAATGAATTGAAATCTATCTCTGCAATTTCCTAATTCTTCCTCCTGGATTTTAGCAGAACACATCTAATTTCCTTTCTATCAAAGAAGAAGTGTGTTACAGGAGCAAGAAAAAAAAAAGAGAGAGGCGCTGGCTCCTGGGTCCAAGGATATAGATTCAAATCTAGTCTCTGATGTTTACTATCTGTGTGACCTTGGTAAAGTCTCTTATCTTCCCTGGACCTCAGCTGCCTGATCTGTGAAATGAGGGGGTGGGGTGTGTGGAGTGGATGGCATCTGAGGTCACTTACAAATCTAAAGCTATGATCCATTTCTAGTGCTTCAAATAACTGCAGATTGCTGACATACACTCACTAAACCTCTTCTCCAAGGTAAACATCACTAATCCTTTCAATCAATCCCCATTTGACATAATCTCCAGTTCCCTCACCATTCAAATCACCCTCCTCCAAACATCCTCCTGAGTATGTTAATGTCCCTTCTAAAATGAGGCCCCCAAATTGAATACATCGCTCCCAGCATGGTCTAACCTCCTCCAGCAAGTAACAACTTTGGTGATCCATGCACCTGATTGATCATAGAGTCAGGATTATCTGAATTCAAATTTTTCTTCAGTCACTTACCAGCTGTATGATCCTTGGCAAGTTACTTAACCTCTGTCAGTCTCAGTTTCTTTATCTGTACAATGGGGTTAATAATAGCACCTACCTTATTGTTATAAGGATCAAACAAGATAATATATAAAGCACTTTGGAAATCTTAAAGTGCTATATAAATGCTAGTTATTATTTTCCAATATTCAGGAATCTGCCTTAACCAATCTCTAATTAGCCTATCTCCTTTCTCTCTTGCTTCCAACACCACTAAATACTACTCCCTCTTTTTTTCTAATCATATATATATTCCATACCCCATATAATCCATACCACAAGTAAATTCTGACAATTTTTTTTAAAAAGAGAGAGAATCTATAAATTCAGAAATAATCATAGGATTTAGAGCATGAAGGGACCATAGCTTATCTAGTCCAGCCTCTTCATTTCACAAAAGAGGAAACTGAGGCCCAAAGAGTTTTAGTGATTTATCCACTGTCACAAAGGTAACAAGTAGCAGAGCTCAGATTTAAAGTCTGGCTCCAGATAAACTTCTGACTCTAGATTCATTGTTCTTTCCAATATATCACTCAAGGTAAGGTTTTTAACTGTGTAAATAAAAGGCCTGAATTTCAATCAAAATTGTTCAGGTTTAAACTGTCATTCATGAGATCCTAGGAGCCCATTACATGCTATCCAGCTGTCTCATGGGCCTCAAAGAGCACAGTGCCTGCCCTGCCCCCTAGAATCTAACCTAAGCTTACACTCACCAATTGCTATTGTCCCCCTCAGGTGCTCTGAATAAAGCACATTCTGCAAACCCTAAATCACTCACAGCTGATTAAGGATCCTCCTGATTGCTAAGCAGAGGATAAAAAGAACTGTCACATATAATTAGGTGCCCATTTTAGGAAGAACAATCACAATCTGGAACTGGGCCAGAGAAGGGAAAGTAGGACAGGGGAGGGACTGTAAACCTTGCTAGACAAGGTCTGGTTGAAGAAACTGAAAGTGTTTCACCTTGAGAAGACAAAAGATAGAGAGGAAGGGAAAGAATCACTTTCTTTTTTTCCGCAGCAATGGGGTTAAGTGACTTGCCCAAGGTCACATAGCTAGCAAGTGTTAAGTGTCTGAGGCTGGATTTGAACTCAGGTCCTTCTGACTCCAAGGCCAGAGCTCTATTCACTGCACCACCTAGCTGCCCCTAAGAATCACTTTCTTGAAACATCTGAAGAGCTGTCCTGTGGAAGAGAGACATTACACTTGTTCTGCCTGACCCCAGGAGACAGAGCTAGCAGTATTGGATAGATATAACAGAGAAATGGATTTAAGTTTAATGTAAAAACAACTTCTTAAACCTTCAAAGCTGTCCAAAAGTGAAATGGGCAGCCTCATTCATGATATATTTGTCATTCTGGAGTAATTTAAGGTTTACCCAGCTCTTCCTCACAATACCCTGTGAGCTAGGTAGTGCCAGTCCATCTATTTCATACACTGAGGGATCTGTGATGTCATCAGTAAGGGTGGTACTCCCCACAGTGGTTGAGTTCATAATCTATCCATACCTGCCCATTCTATGTGACTTATCCATGTCCTCCCCCAAATCTAGTACAGGGGGCCCATTCTGATTTACCCATATCCTTCCATAAATCTAATACAAGTGGCCCATGCTGACTCATCCATATCCTTCTATATGTCTAATACAGGAGGTCTACCCAACATATGTTTGAGAGAGGGGCTTCTTCTAGAACTCTTGACTTTACAAGGATGCCAAGGAAGTACCCAACCTATCCACTGGTCATCCCTCACTCTTGATCCATGACAGACTTACTTTCTTCTCTGGTCATACATCTCCCTGATCACATCCTTTATGGCATCCTCTCGGGTAATTCTTGGTTGATGATGGGTGTTGCAAGGTTATTCAGGTGACCTGCAACTTTAGTCTTTAGAAACTTTGTATTCCAAGACTGGCATGACTTCCATGACTACAATGTTACCAAAAGATAACCTTTTTAAATAGAGATGACCCTTGGTGTTTCAGGAAGGATCCTGGGTTCATTAAAAGCCTGATGTGATTTTCCAAAAGCAATCCTACCTGTTTTCCTCCTATTCAGAATAGTTCAGAGCCCAGCTCATGGAAAATGAATGTTATCTATCCAAGATCCATGCACTAATAGGTCAAGACTATGGAACATCCATCCAATTGCATTTCATAGTTTAGATTATATAAGTGTAATGTTATAAGTACTATTAGCCCCATTTTACAAAGCTGAGATTCAGAGAGATTGTCATTTGCCATTAAGTATAGGAGCCAAGTTTCAAACCCATGTCCTCTGAGAGATGTTTTCACTATACTAAACTGTTCCATGGTAAGCTCCCTGTCCCTAGAGGTCTGTGGATGAAGGTTTGTTGACTACTTGTCAAGAATGCAATTAAAAAGATTCCTATTGAAGCAGAAGCCAACTAGAAGACTTCTGGGGTCCCTTACGATTCTGATATTCTATGAATCTTCTTCCCTCTCCCACCTTGGGGAAGGAGAGATTTTGATTGGGATGGGGGCAGAAAATAATGACAACCTGACAGTCACTAAACACATTGGACATTCCTGAGATGGATAATGCCATACTAATCACTGTGTTTATTATCCTTCCTCCAGGAAGCCTTTTCTGGCCTCTACCTCCAACTCTAGAAACATCCTCACCTGCTGGAAAAATGTGTGGGGCTTGAAGTTCCTCTCCAAGAGGCAAGTGGAGGAATCTGGGGGAGGACTTTCTGACATACTGAGAACACTACCACCCCAGGTCACTCAGGACATCACCTTTCAGACCAATGAGGACATCATTTACCAAGCTATCTTGGAACCCTTCCCATGCCAACAAGGGCAGCATTCCCAAGACCAGCCAGGTTACTGAAGACACCATACCCTGGATACATAAAGCCATCTCTCCACTCTCAATTCACTGACTACATTATTCCTCTTAAATTGTTGACTTTTATTTCCTATGGTCTGATTGGGAGACATTCAAGATAAATTCTTGTGCCAGGCTGGGAGGACAAATATTCAGGAGTTTTCAAACTGAGGCCTGGGAACCTGAATTTAGATTCCTGGATGTCAGAAAACTGTTTATGAGACTCCCCTTATAGTGAAGTAAGTCTTCAAACATAAGTGTGTGCACACATGTGCACATATGACTCCTGACTGGGACAGAGAAAGAACTCACTCATTAAAAGACCTGTCAGTCATTTGGGAGATTGTGAACCCCAGAAAAGAAACAAAAAAGAGAAAATACTCCTTTAATCTTCGTCCAACCAGGATTAGAGCTACAGAGGCACCTGCAGGCCTCTGAAATGCCTTCCTTTTCCCATCCCTGCCACTTCCTCTTATTCTCCCCACTGAAATCTGTGGCTCACCTCAACCCATATCCAACCATAGAGGAAGGAATTCACACTTCCTTTTATCTCACTCATGCTAAGGAAACCCTGACTTATAACAGTTCAACCAAGGCAAAAGGGGCCTCTAAGGAGCTAGGGGTCCTGAAACCTACACACACACACACACACACACACACACACACACTGATAATTGTGAATCCAGAGATGTCCAGCAGACCGACCACAGCCTCAGAAAGAAAATGGATAATGTAAGGAGGCTGACAGGAGGATAAGAGAGATGAAAGGGTATGAGACAAAGTACATGAAGTGACAGATGTGAGAAAGAGGAAGGGGAAGGGAATAAGCATTGATGTGGCATGTACTGCATGCCAGGAACTGTGGTAAGCACTTTACCTTTGAATAAGTGAAGTGACAGGGTTAGAAGTGGGGAAAGAAGGGAACACAAGAAGGAAGGGGTGAGCTGGTGGATTAGAGGGTACCAGTTCAGGAATGAGGAGCATCTGAGATATGAGACAAGGGAGATTAGGGGTGGGAGAATAAAATAAATAAAATAAGAGTTGTGAATGAGACTGATATGAGGTTGGGGGTGGAGATAGAGTGGGAAAGAGATGTGGGGAATAAAGGGAATGTAAAATGAGAGATGAAAAGAATAGATGAGAGGTGGCAGATTGAGAAACCTCTAGAATATGAGTTGAGAGAGTGGAGCTAAGGCACTACCCAATCCTCCATTATATCCTTCCAGATCCTCCTTAGATCCTTTCAGAATTCTTAACTTCCTGGAGAGGAAAGATTCCCTCCTTCCCCAAGAAACACACACACACACACACACACACACACACACACACACACACACACACACTACCACCACCACCAACAACAACAACATTTCACCTTTGCTGAATTTTACGAGAAAGAACTCTTCTAAAATAAAAGGGAAGTTCAGAAGAGGTCCTGATGTAAAGAATTTTTATAAAGAGAAGCCCTACAGGAAGTAAGGATTCAGTTTCCAAACACTGTTGAAAACTGAGGACTGAGCAAGCTATGCATCGAATGGGCCATGTGCTCAAATTCTCCTTCACTTCCTCTCTCCTGGTCCCTCTGACTTTCCTTGCCTACCCAACTGGCAGAATTAATGAAACTTCTGAGAAAAGTCACCTTTTTTAAAGTGGAAAACTTGTCTGGTAAGAGCAGGAAAGTCCAGAAAGTATGGCAGGACAAGGGTGATCAAGAAGGCAGGACAGCTTTGAGAAGAGCACTGACCTAGGAGTCATGAGACACATGAGACCCAGCCTCCAGCCAGGATACTGCAGCTAACTTGAGCCATGACCTTGGGCAGATTTATATCTTCCTTTCCCTGAGCCCCAGCCCCCACATCTGTAAAAGGCAGGGAGGATCAGGGAGAGGTGTTGAACTAGGAATTCTAAGGTCTCTTCCACCTCTGACTCCCTTCCCTCCTCCAGGCCTCAGTTTCCTTCTCTTTAAAATTAAAGTGGCTGGACTCCATTAAGAGCCCTCTCAGCGCTAGCATTCCATGGAAAAAATCAGGCAGCCAACAGAAATGCAGAAGGACTACCAAGACAGAGATTTCAAACAAAAGATCCTTGAGACCACCTCCAGGAAACCTGACAGTAATGACCTTCCTCCTGAGACCTCACAGAGCACTTTGTTCACACTTTTCTTATGCATGTATCCTTGTGTATTATACCTATCTGTGTTGCTATCTTATCCCCTGACTATGAGTTCTTTGAGAACAGGGACTATATCTTTCATAAACTTCAAATCTTCTCCAGCAACAAACACGAGACTCTGCACACAGTAGGTGCTTAACAAATGTTTGTTGAGTTAATATTATTGAAATCTATCAAGGGTCAGTATCACTTAGGTCCATTTGAGCTTAAGTGATAGAAAAAGATTCCATTATTTTTTTTCCTCCGTTACTAAAAGAGACTCCTAGACACTAATTATCTTTTAGAGCAAGCAGGTGAGAGGTTGTGAGCAAAGGTGCTTATAATGATGAACTAATTAGAAAAAGTGACAAGCTTTAAAAAAAAATGACTGAGGAACAAATGAATGAATGCCCAGATCCAAAGCCCTAAAAACCTCAAAGTAGCAGAGGTACGTAAAATATAGCTTTGGATGCCAGAGTGGTTTGCAAACCAGATAGTCACCATTAGAAAGGTGAGGAGAAATAAAGCTACAAGGTAAAAGTGAAAGTCTGACCAAGCGCAAGAAATAAGACCAATGATTAAAATGTGAGCTTAAAGTGAGAGAGAAGATGCCAACATGAGCTTGTGTTTGTGCTTCTCTGAAATCATGTTCCTTGTTGTACTTCAATGTTTAGCCACCTTGTATCGTGAGTAATTAACTAATTCATGTTGTTATTTTAATAAAGAATTTATTTTTGTAGAAAACAGCATGCAGGGTATGAAATATGTATTCTTTATTTTTTCTCAATTATTTATGCCCAGAGAATCATAGAATCTTTGCAGTGAAAGGCATCATTGAGGCTATCTAGTCCAATTCTTACACTAATCCTGAATCCCCATCTACATCACCATCAAGTGTTCATACTATCTCCACTTGAGTACTTCAAGTGACACTAAGTTCACTCTGTCACTACCATTCCATTGCTGGACAGTGCTGATTACTATGAGATCCTTCCTTGTATCAAGCTGAAATTTACATCCCAGGAACTGTTCCTAGTTATACCCTCTGACCAACCTGAACTGCTCCTTTTTCCACAAAGCAACTCTTCAGATATTTGAAGGCCATTGTCACATCCTCTTTAAATCTTCTCTTCTCCAGAATAAACATCCTTACTTCCTCCAACTGATCCTCACTTGGCTTGGTTTCCAGTCCACTCCTTACCCTGGTCGTCCTTCCATGGGTATGCTCCAATTTGTCAACATCCTTCCTAAAATGTGGCACCTCAACCTGGAAACATTACTCCATATGTTATCTAATGAGCGCAAAGGACAGTAGGGCTATGAGCTCCTTCCCTCTGGTTGCCTAGGTTTCTGTTAATGTAGTTTAAGATGGCACTGTCCACAGATGGAGACACCTCCAGGGTCATTGGGAAGTCAACAGACAGAGATAGCTCCAGGGCCTTTGCAAAGCTGGGAGATGAGGCATTAGTTATTCTTGTTGCCTCCTTGGAAATTGTCCCAAACTAGATTAATGCCTAACTAGACCAGGAATACCACAAACTCCAAACCTTACTCAGAAACAAATGCCTAAGTCTTTGACCTTTCCTTGAGGTTATCCTGCCCATTTAAACAGTAACCTACACACCCATCTCATTTCCTTCCAAAAACCTGGTTGGGGGAGGAATGCAGGTAAGGGTGGACATGGGCATGCTTCTAACTGCATTCATATCAGGTCCTAGGGAAAGTTATCATCCACATATACTACATCCTAGGCCAAGCCCTGCCCCCTCATTCCTCACCACAAGGCTGAGAGAGAAATTAAGGGGAAGAGGACTTTCTGAAAAGGACCATGCAGAATACTGGAAACCAGGATGAGGAAGTGAGACTGAGTGTGATTTGAGAAATTCCCACAAGGTCCTGATGCCCCCACCATCCTCTCTGCCTAACAATCCAAACACCCATGGACACAAAGAATGCCAGGGAAGTGCTTGGACTCAAGCATGGGCTTGGCAAAACAGGCACACCCATATCACCACACCCAGGCAAAGTTTGCTGCATTTCTTTCTAAATTTGGAAACCTACAATGCTATTACTGTTAGCTTTCACTTCCCCTTTCTGGCCTAAGTTCCAATAGTTGTAAAATAATTTCTAGGCTTTCTTCTAGCTCTGACAGGGATTCTAAGACTAGATGTCTCTTCACATGCCCTCTATCTCAGCATTCTTTGGTCTCTCACTACAGACCCAATTCTATTTAGTGACTGAGAGAGAGGCAGCCAGGTCTGTGTGTTGGGAAGGTGTCAAATGCAAAAAATATTCACCCCCACACTGACAGCACCAGCCCCTTGCTCTCAGAGAAGCTTCTCTTCCTGGAAATAGTGGTCTACCCCTTCACAGATGTCCCTTCACACAGAGAGGGCTCAGCCCTACACCGATAGTCTCGCTTCCTGGCAATGGTTCCCTCACTGCAGACCTCAGTTTCAAACACAGGATCCCCTTTTTGTGGTCCCTCCCAACAACTCCTTCTGGCCCTTGGTAATCAGGGAAGAACCCAGGTCCCAGTTTTACAAGGAGACACACAAAAGAATCCCAACCAGCACACTCCAGGGCCTTAGAAATCGTGTTCCCCATATGGGCCCCACAAGGCTTCCTATTTAGCTCCAGGGCAGATTTTGAATTAAGACAGCTATGGTATAATAGAAAAAGGACAAAATTTTGCATTCAGGACATCTGGATTATAACACATATTAATTAGGAATGTCACTTCCTCTCTCTAAACCTTAGGTTCCTCATTAATAAGATGAGAACAATTACTTGCAACACCTAGCCCAGAAGATGGTTCAAATAAGTTAGTATACTTAATGTACTTTGTAAACATTATCATCATCATTATTATTATTATTATTATTATCACAGGGAGAAGCATTCTCCCCATTTTATTCAGGAGGAAACTATCCCAGAGGAATAAAAAACATGGAATAGACCAGGGACCCTCCTTCAGCCTTTTTTCCCTTATTTTACTTCCTTTTTATTTCAATGTAACATGCCATAAAAAAAATTAACAGGATTTGTTATCATTTATTTTCTTCTTTTTTGAGTTTTATATTTTTATTTTTTTAAATGAAATTAATGCAGTGTTTTAAAGAGAGATATTCTATTCACAGGCCTTTAAAATTTAGAATGAAAAAACAGAAAATTCTATTTTTAAGGTAATAAATAGAATATTACTACGAGTGTTATAGTTATTTAATTAGATCTTTGGTTTCTCATTGTGAATTTTACAGGATGGAAGTATTCATATGCTTTCAAAAATAATAAGAAACCAAAATTCTATCCAATAAATATGACACTTGTGAATGACACTCCCTAAAACTGAAATATTCGAGGGGATAGACTGGACCTGTGATTTCATTGGTGTAGGGAACTCCAGGGTGAGGAAACTCCCTCCACCTACCTTCTCTGCAACTTAGACCACTGAGAAGTTAAATGACTCATTCAGGGTCACACATTCAGTGACATGTTGAGTTTTATTTATTTTTTTATTAATTTATTTTGATTTATCAACAATCATTTCCATATACTTTTCAGTTTAAAATTTTTCTCCCCCTCTCTCCCTAACTCCCTCCCCAAGAGGGCCCACAATCTGATATAGGCTATACATTCCTATTAAACATATTTTCACATTAGTGATGTTGTAAGTAAGAATTCGAACCAATAGGAAAAACCACCGGAAAGAAGAAACAAAACTCAACAGAAGAAGAAAACAACAGCAAACAGTATGCTTTGATCTACGTTCAGACTCCATAGTTCTTTCTTTAGATGTGGATAGCATTTTCCATCACAAGGCCTTTGGACATGTTTTAGACCCTTGTATTGCTAGGAAGGGTTAAGTTTATCAATATTAGTCATCCCACAATGTGGCTGTTACTGTGCACAATGTTCTCTTGGTTCTGCTCACTTCACTCAGCATCAGACCATACAAGACTTTCCAGGTTTTTCTGAAGTTAGCCTGTTCATCATTTCTTATAGCACAATAGTATTCCATTATATTCATATACCACAACTTGTTCAGCCATTCCCCAATTGATGGGCATCTTCTCAATTTCCAATTCTTTGCTCCCACAAAAAGAGCTAGCATTTATTTTCTAAAAGCATTTTTAGTTAAGATATAAGAAATTAAACACTTGCAACAAATTTGTTTTCCAATGTTTAGTTTGGACCCAAATTTGGTAGGTATTTGTGTTTCCTATATATCTGCAGTATTTTACATAGCTCTGGGCCTGGCAAGAAGCTTCCTTCTTTTAGGATTCATTTTCTCCCTTTATAAAGTGAGGGGGACTCTTGACCCAGGGATGCCACCAAAAAGCATATACACGAAGGTAGTCCAAGACAGAAAAAGAAGTCCCATATATACCAAACATTTATAGTAGCATTTTTTTTTGTAGTAGCAAAGAACTGGAAGGAAAGGAGGTGCTCACAAATTACCAAATGGCTAAGCAAAAATTAGGATATATAAATGTAATGGTGTATTATGGCACATAAGAAATGATGTATATGAAGAATTCAAAGGAACTTGAGAAGACCAGATGAACTGATGCTGAACAAAGTGAGAACCAGGAGAACAAATTATATGTTGACCACAATAATAAATAGGAAAATAATCTAAAAGACTTCAGAACTCTGATTAATGCCACATCCAATCATGACTTTGGAGAAACAATAGTGAAATATGCCCCCTGCTTCTTGGCAGAGAGGTGGTAGGTAGACTCCAGATTTAGAAAAAGGTATGCAATTTTAGGTATAGCCAAATTATTGATTTGTTTTGCTTACCTGTATTTATTTGTTATAAGGTAAAGTTTTATTGCCAGGGGGAAAGGGAAGATGAATCAGTCATTGGGAAGTAACAATGATGTAAGAAAAGAACATCAATAAAGAATTTTAAAATAATAATAATAATAATAATAGCATTATTTAGAACTTTTAAGATTTGCAAAGTGTTTTACATGTTAGCTCCTTTGATCCTTGCAATTATTCCACCTAGATACTCAAAATAAAATGAGAGGGATGGAATAAATGATCCCTAGAAGTCATTCTAGTTCTAATATTCTGAGTCTAAAAGATAGCAACAGTTCAACCAAAGTCAGTCACCACCAATCAACCCCTTCTCCTTTGCAAATTCCCAATGTCCTGGAAAGACCCAAAAGAAGTAATGGTCATTGCCTCCCAGGCCTCTGTGTCCTAGCCCTGGCCCCTCCTGACTTCCATGTAACATTAACAAATAAGTCCTTTCTCCTCTCTGAGGCCTTTTCCCTAGGCATATCTTCCCTGGCCCCACCTTTGGGACAGGAACTCAGACAACCCCATACTACCACCACCATGGGAAGCAAATTTAAGATCACAGTATTTAGAGCTGGAAGAAACTTTTTAAAACAACTAGTCCAGTCTCTTCATTTTACTGAGGCCTAATGACTTTTAGGGTCTTGCAAAGGCCTCATATGGTCCCCCAGAGTCAAGGCCTCCAATACTCAACCTAATACCACAAGTACCACAGCCTCCAACACCACACTTGCACAGAACTAAGTGCATATATCTTCTGAATGAGCCTCATCCTTCACTGTCTTGGGATATGCCTACAATTGGTGCTCTGTATTAGTTCAGCCTAGTCCCCAGGGAACCAGACCTCTGGCCTGAAATCCCAGTTATCACCATCCCCAAGTTGCATGTGTTTGAAGAGGAAATGGCTGCACCCATCCTCCATCATCACAAAAGTT